GGATTCAAGGGCTGACAGCTCTGGCTCTTAGAGGCTGTAGTTCAAGTTTTTGCCCTGACCCCTGAGCAGCCTTGGCTCACGCTGGGCAGGAATTCAGCACACTCACCCTGGTTCCCAGCTTTTAGAGGAAGGATGAGGTTGTTGGAAAATGTTCGTCCTCTTCAAAGCTGCCAATTTTGTTTCAAGGTGCATGAGCGATTTTGTACATTTCACACCACTTCCTAGTTTATCTTCCCATATCCTAAGCTAACGGTCTCTCCAGGAATTTGTGCCATATGTACTATGGGGGTTTCGGATACCCTCTGTCAGTCTTGTTTCTGGGAATCATGGCACCCGGTTTGAGTACCAGGGAATAGCAGAGATGAGATTATCAAACAGGATCCTTAGGAGCCACAAGAAAATTCTGACCCCCAGGTGGCGCCCTCCAGTAGATTCACCTCGAACGAACGGAAGTCGGGCGGCTCTCACTCTGGGACCCTTCGGTCTCGTAAAAATTTCAAGACCCCAAAGTTACCACCCGCCAACAGTTCTTCCTGCTGTCTAACTTGGGGATATCTTACCTGCTCAGCGTACCGGGTGGGGTCCGCTCAGAGGCAGGGGGTTAGCCACGGAGGATAGCAGGGCGGGAAGGAGCCGCCGGCAGCCGGGAAGGCGGGGCGTGAGGGCGGACGGGGCGGCCCGGGGTGGGGCAGCGCCTCGGCGCACACCCGGAAGCGGCGTGGTGGAGCGGAGCTTGGCGAGCGTGGGAACCCAGGCTCGGCCGAAGTGGCCAGGTTAGTTCACAGGGAGGGAAGGATGGTGGGCTCCCGGGTGCGGCGGGAGGAGAGGCAGGTCCTGGCTCCCAAGCGTGGGGACTGCGCAGTTGTCACCCGGGGCTGCCGCGGCCAGCTGGTGGTGGTGGCCTAAAGAGCTGTTTCTGTTGGAGGAGGAGAGGGTACAGTTGAGCCTTGCAGGTTCCTTGTGGCAGCTAAGAGCTTTGGAGGGGCTGCTGGGCTTTGCAGATGAGAGGGTGTGGGGGAGGGACTAGGTCTGTGATCAAGACCCCCTTCCCCTCCCAGCCCAGGCACGTGCGAAAACCCAGCATGAAGGCGCGCTAGTGAGAGCCCAGGAAGTTCCCCTCGCAAGGTACAGAGTGGCGCAGCCGAGTAGGGGGCACGTCTGGCTAGTGGCACGGAGTTGCTGGCTTCCAGTCTTTGGGCCACGCCTACGGGCCGTCCCGCTTACCCAGCCAGAGGTGAGGCTGCCTGGGGACTGTTGTGTGTTAATGGAGGCATCGTGCCTGGCTGTCCTCTGGTAGTAAGGGCAGTTCTTAGTTTGGTACCCAAGTGTCTACATTAAGTCTACCTGTGATCGCAGCAACCCAGCCTGGAAGCCTCCGCCCTGCTCGAGGAGGAGCGGATTCCCGGTGGGTGGGGCTCGGGGCTTCCCAAGGAAGGGTTTTCTGCGGAAGGCCACATAGGAATGATTCCAAAGTGGACAATGGCAGAGAACAGCCTTTCCCGCCCGACCTCTTCGCTACCGTGTTATCTGACCTGTCAACCTCCGGCCCAGCTCCAGCACCTGACTTCCCCGACTTGCCCAGTACTAGTGGTATGATGGGACATTCCCCCGTCCAGGTTTCGGGTACCCACCGGGAAGGCCTGTTCGTCAGACTCTGGTCCCTTCAGTCCTTACTTCCATTCTTTGGGCTGGGACCACATTCATCAGGTCAGAACTTCCAAGTCAGGGGGTCGAGGAAGATGTGAAAGAGAAAACATTTCCAAGGTCCCCCGTGCCACTTTTCCTGGGCTTCCTACTTGCCTTGCTTTCTTGACTGGCTCCCTACTGCTCTTGGCCCTACTTGTCCACTTGGAGTTTCACCATATTTGCTGTTGTTTTGTTCTTAAAGTTTTTTAAGTACGAAGGAAATGTTTCTATTTTACATAAAGTAGAAAATATTGCTAAGTACAAAGAAAATAAAAATCGCTCCAAATCCCCTCTATCTTGCCCAGAGATAAACACAGTACTAGTATTCTATTAATTTTAAAATCAGCAGTTAATTTTGTTTTAGGTAAGTATAAAAGTATTAATACATTTCCTATGAAGAGATGGCAGGAAAGTGACTCTTCAAAGTGTGTCCCCTGTACTCAGAGCAATGGTAGGGCCATCACCAGTTGTCATTTCTCTTGCCAGGGTGGGTGATACTGTCCTAGTTTTGTATATGTGCTGCCGAAGCGAGCACATACTGTCCTACTTTTGACACATGGGTTAGGACCTGGGGGCAGATCTGACATGCAGTCTCTGCTTTAAGCTCAAGACTGGTACTTCCTCCTCAGTGATGTCCAGGCTCCTGCCCCTGGCTCCTCCTAAGCAAGCTGGGGCCACCCCCATCTGCCCCACCCAGAGCAAGGGCTCTGCACCCCTCCTAGCTCACCACTGTAAATGCTAAAATCAGAAAATAAAGGGAGATGACTGCTGGAGCAGGAGGTGGGGTTTTCTAGGAAAGCGGGGAGGCATTGCCTCAAGTGAGGTGAAGAGGAGGCAGGACAGTTTCCCCACTTGCCCCCTCATAGGGCAATAACTGGGTCAGTGAAGTGTTTCCCTGGCTGGGAATTTTGCCTCCCGGTCTCGGGTCAGGCAGTTTTTGTTGTTGTTTGGTTTTTGGTTTTGTTTTGTTTTTTCTCTGGTATAGGGGCTCAAACTCAGGACCTTGTGCTTGCGAGGCAAGTGAAGTGCCACTGAGCTAAGTCCCCAGCCCTGGTACATTTTAGATATACAGAATGATAACATTCATCATAGGGAACTTACACCTGTACATGATACATCTTGCTCCTTTTGTCCGCATTCCCCCTCCTTTTAACTCATCTTCCCCTCCTTATTCACAAAAACTTTCTTTCCATTTTTTCCCTCTATTCTCCTTTTTTCCTTGTCCCTTCTTTCCTTTCCCCTTTCCCCTTTCTTTGTTCCCCTTCTCACTTGAACATTTTCTTCCCATTTCCCAATATCTTTTAGACATTTTTGTCCTTATTTCCACTTTTGGTTTCTCACATCAGAGAAATAATGCAGTATTTAAACATATATGTCTGATTTATTTTACTTAAGAGTATGGTCTCAAGATGTATCCATTTACCTAGAAATGTCTCAAGTTTATCCTTCTTTATGGCAGAGTAATACTCCATGGTATCAAAAAACCACATCTTCTTTATCCATTTGTCAGTTGATGGGCATTTAGGGAGTTTACAAAATTTAGCTATTACAAACTGTGCCCCTATGAACATGGGTATGCATACATCTCTGTTGTATGATGCTTTTAATTCTTTCAGGAAGATACCAAGAAGAATAGCTGGGTCAAATGATTTCTACAGTGGTTGCAACAGTCTACACTCCCAACAGTGGAGAAAGGTTCCTATTACCTCACAGCTCCACCAGCTTCTGTTATTGGCTGATTTCCTGGTAACAACCATTCTTTTTGCAGTGAGATGTAATCTCAGTGTTGTTTTCATTTGTATCTCTCGAATGACCAGTGATGTTGAACATTTTTTTCACATATTTATTTGCCGTTTCTACTTCTTAATCTGAGAAGTGTCTATTCAGGGTCAGGGTCAGGTTTTTTGGGGGGTTTTTTTGGTACTGGGGATCGAACTCAGGACCTTCCGCTTTTAAGGCAGGTGGCGGAACCACTGAGCTAAATCCCTGGCCCAGGGTCAAGTTTTTGACAGATGGAGAATATATTAGCACCAAGGGGCCCTGGTTCTATCTGGACAGGGAAGGAAGGAATCTATAATAGAACAGTTTGAGTTGGAAAAGACAAGAGCCCAATTCCAAGGGATTTATAACAAAGTAGAATAGTGTAGCTCATATAACTGAACAATCCAGGGTTCAGTGGTTTCAGAGATAGCTAGATCCAGGGTCAGCATGGTTAGGAATGCACCTCTCCATCTCTTGGCTCTGTTTCCTTCAGTATCAGTTTCATTCTCAGCCAGGTTCTTCCCAAACAGTGGTAAAGGAGATTTACCACCTCCTTTCAATTCATCCCCAAGAGAAGGGAAACTAATGCTGAGCGCCAGGCTTGATTCTTTTTTTTTTGTACCAGGGATGGAACTCAGGACCTTGCGCTTGCCAGGCAGGCACAGTGCCATTGAGCTACATCCCCACCCCAGGCTTGATTCTTTTTTTTTTTTCCCCCATTAAGTTTATTGGTACATTTTAGGTATAAAATACAGTAACATTCATCATTGGGATCTTGTACCTTTACATGATGTATCTTGGTTCTTTTTTTTTTCCCCCTTCCCTTGCCCTCCCTTCACCCCCTACACCCTTCCCTATTTGCAAAGACTTTGGTTCCATTTTTTTCCTTTTCTCATATTTTTTCTTTTCCCTTTTTCCCTTTCCCCTACTCCTCCCACTTCCCCTGCTCCTTTAGACCTTTTCTTCCTGTTACACAATATCAATTATACATTTTTTAAATTACAGTATCAAGATCTAGGAGACATTACCACAGATTTTACATAATTTAAAAGGATATAAAAAGCATATTTCAAAA